TAAAAGACCCTAGTACCACTTTTGTTCACTGGTATATTGCCTAGTTAAAACACTTTTCACAATGTCATGGCGATATACAGTGTCATAATTGTTGTAAGACTTGCTTAGATAAATATAAATATATAAATATAAATATAAATAATTATGAAATGAAGCATTTCCCAGTATAAAATAAGGGAAAGGTTTACACAGGCATTTGATGGAGAAAGGGAATGTCTAGCTAATAATGGCATACGAAGTAAATTGAAAGTTTAAAACATGGTTCTGTATAAATAATTATGCTGTTTAAATTCAGGTACACATTGAATTTAATGTAGATGCCTTTTGTGTGTTCTGCAACTGATGCAATAGCATTGCAACTGTAAGTACAGCTACTGGCATCTGTGCTTGAACTGCAAATATTCACTGTAGCAGAAGAAGAATGAGAAAATAAGGCTCAGATTTAAGAGAAGCAAACCTTTTTCTCCAGGACACAAAACAACAAATACAACCAGTCTAAAAGAAACTGTGGTGTTCAGTTTTAGCTTCCCTAGAACCCATCATATTGTCTTCTTAGGCTGTATTCCTATATACACACTTACCAATATGTCTAATTGAACTCAATGGGACTTACTTCTTAGTAAAATATATAGGATTGTACTGTTACAAACCTTACTATTGTTACAAAAATTGGATACTACCCCCACAATCTTTGCCAAACCAAGCCAAGATTCTAGGGGGTTCCAGGAACTAACCAGGCATCTGTGCTCCTTTGAAAAGCAAGACAAGGCAGAGGCTGTCATTGTTTTAAGTTATATTTAATAATAATAATATAATAATAAATTTTATTTATACCCTGCCCTCCCCGACCAGGGCTGGGCTCAGGCGACTAACACCAAATATGAATTACAATAAAATGTAACAGAAAAACAACAACCAGTTAATTAAAATACAGCTTAAAATACAGCCTCATTTTAGTAGTAGCCCATAAATCAAGACCATAAAGGGAGGAAACATTAGATACTCACCCGAGCCAGCTATCCATGCTGGTCCTACATGGGCCAGCAAAAAAGCCAAGGGAAAATTTATATACCAAATCCCATATAAGGGGTCAAAGTGAGTCTAAGCCAAAGGCCAGGCAGAACAGCTCCGTCTTGCAGGCCCTGCGGAAAGATGTCAAATCCTACAGGGGCCCAGTCTCTTGTGACAGAGCGTTCCACCACATCGGGGCCAGTGCTGAAAAGGCCCTGGCCCTAGTTGAAACCAATCTAACTTCCTTGAGGCTTGGGACCTCCAAAGTGTTGTTATTTATGGACCTTAAGGTCCTCCGCGGGGCATACCAGGAGAGGCGGTTCCATAGGTACAAGAGTCCTAGGCCGCATAGGGCTTTAAAGGTCAAAACCAGCACCTTAAACATGACCCTGTACTCCATTGGGAGCCAGTGCAGCTGATAAAGCACTGGATGAATGTGATCCCACGGCAAGAACCCCGTAAGGAGCCTCGCTGCAGCATTCTGCACATTCTGGAGTTTCTGGGTCAGCTTCAAGGGCAGCCCTGCGTAGAGCGAGTTACAATAATCAAGCCCGGAGGTGACCATCGCATGGATCACTGTGGCCAGATCAGGGCAAGAAGGGTAAGGGATCAACTGCTTAATGCGGCAGAGATGGAAAAATGCCACCTTTGCTGTGGCTGCAACCTGCACCTCCATAGAAAGGGAGGCATCAAAGGTTACACCTAAACTCTTGACAGAAGGTGCTGTCACTAATTGAGCCCCCGCAAGAGAATGAGTTGGTCCCCCAACCCCTTGTCATCCCGACCCAACCAGAGGACCTGTATTTTTGAAGGATTTAACTTCAACCGGCTCCCACGCAGCCACAGCTTCCAAGCATCTGGTCAGTGTGTTCGGGGTTGAGTGAGGGCGGCTGTCCATCAACAGATAAAGCTGGGTGTGATCAGCATATTGATGACAACCCAGCTCAAAACTCTGGACAATCTGGGCAAGGGGGCGCATAAAGATATTGAAAAGCATTGGGGAAAGGATTGCGCCCTGCGGCACTCCACACACCAAGGAGTGCCACGACAACAACTCCTTCCCTAGCGCCACCCTCTGTCTCCAACCTGAGATAAAGGATACTTCTGGATACTCCCTCAGTCTGCATGAAGTACAGCATGGCCATCTCAGGAAGACTTGTTCCCAACAGCAGTGCAGCACTTGAGTCCAAGGCATGTCTCCCAACCTGCCTTCAGCCAGCCTGCCCCCAATGGATCTCCTTTTTTCAGCTATTCCAAGTCTCATGCCAAAGGCCCCAAACTCTTCCTATGACATCATGCCCAGATAGCATGGAAACCTTCCAAATCCTGTCTGTTCACATCTCAGAAGAGAGGGGAAGGGCAGTACTCTTGCACTGCCAATAGTCCTGTATTGTTTCTTCATGGGTCCAGCTTGGCCAGGTTGTTTTTTGCCTGGTCTAGTCCAGGAATTCCTCTGCAGCTTGTATTTTTCCTTCATATCCCAAATAATCAAAATCCTACCACTTATTAATTTCTAGGGTTTGGGGGAACCCCCCCCCCAACCTATAACCCTATTTTAGACCTTATGCTCGCTACATTCCTTACATCTTCTGTCACTCTAATCATTGAAGCGGAGGGACACACTGTCTTACAAGCTTGCTCTTATGTACCTGCCATTTCCCACTTCAACAAGGATATTGATTCTCAAGCCTGCCTTTCACTTGAAAGTGAAACATTTTAACACTTCTCTTTGAAGTCTCTTTCTTGTTTAAAGTTAAGCTTCACCCTCTTCATTTGCTGTGTTTTCCATCAGAACAATCAGCCCTATATGGAAATTATGTGTCAATGTCCTTCCCTAAAGAAACAAGGGGGATGTTTAATGCCTGTCAACGATTGTCTAGGTGTAACTTCTAAGCCTGTCAACCGGTAAAATAATGTTCAGTTGATTAATTGCCCACCTTTTAATTGATTAAATTTAAATAGATTTGCATGTTAACAAAACCTTTTTGAGATATGGTATAAGATAGGTTTTGTTTGTTAAATTGTTTTAGTTACTGTAAGGAGAATTTACCTTCTCCATTTCCTATTAAGTAACACACCCAAACCAAAATAACCTAAAAAAATAAGCATTTATGCTCCCAACTATGAGCCTTGCTGGCCTCACACTCCCCCAGTCTTACCCTCAAAAGCAATACCTTTATTTATTTTCTCAATGATGTGAATAGCTTCAGAATGGGCAGAATTTAGGTAGGACAAACCACCAGGGGAGGAGGACTAAATGCTCCATCCATCAGCTCTCTCCATCAAATTCAGAAGCCACCATGACTGCTTTTAATCAGAATATTGGGTGATCCAATCACAGAGCTCATGCATGATATGTGGTCTGACTCTAAAATGGGTTTTTCCTTACAGGATCAGAGAATTCTGCAGTCAAGTAAAATAAATGTGGATGTAGCATCTCCCCAGGTCATTGCAGAGAGAGGATAGGTAGAACACAAGTCTGATTTTGCCCAAGCAAGACTCAAGTAATGTCTAAAATCTCACTATATTACCCACTGTTGAGAAAGAACTGTAAATCTTTTCAAGTGCCCAAAGCTGAAACCTTGCAAGTGATACATTTGCATCTAAGGCTCCTTTTAGTTTTGATTTTAAATAGTTATCTTAATCATTTTCAAGCAATTATTTCACATAAATGTCATCTCAACTAAGGGGTAATAGAGGCCTATTTCTTTATGAAGCCTCAGAGAATGGGGACAATACTAAGTTCAGTCACTGAGTTGATTCCAAAAGTGGCCTTCCATGAATGAAAGAGGTACTGTACTTTTATTTGCTGAAGAGCCCACTTGCTGTACTGGAGAGTCCCCTATGTCTGGAGCAGATTTTTAGTAGATGGAAGGTGCCGCAGGGGAAATATTAAAAAATTGCCTCTTATTAGGGGAGGTGTCTGCTGGATCAAAAGACTTCCCATTCACACAGCAGAGTCAGTTTGTTGTTAGTTGCACAGTAGCTGGGAGAGCATAGGACCAATAAGCCTTTTGCCATCTGACCTCTGGTTCATGGGACCTGCCACAGGAGATGCCAAACTTTTGCCAGAACGAAACCTAGAAGGAAAACATGTTCCCACCCCCTAGATTAATATGAGCACATTGAAAATACTTTTATTCAAGGAATGACAAAGGCAGAAAGCCGCTTGGGGATTTCTGACATGTATAATTGAAACTTGGTTGGGTGAGCAGGGTATGTGTGTTAGTTCTGCCTAGCTTGGCCACTGGGGTACCTGGGTCAGCTTGAGGGATGGGGATCACCAGCAGCTCACAGCCTATAGGTTGCTTTTCCCCCCTGGAGGAATACCGGTAATATGGCGTGCCAGGAGGATGACAGCATGGGGTACATGCTGCCAAAACACAGAAGCTGTGCACTCTTTGAAGGGGCTGCGCGGCTTCTGCTGGCTTTTCTACGAGGTGGGGCAGGAGCCGCACACCCTTTAAAGAGCGTGCCGCTCTTGGGGGCTTTTCCCCGAGGAGGGAGGAGGGATTGACTGGCCGTTTCAGTCCCTTCTCCCTCCTGGTCGAAAAGCCCGCAGGAGTCGCACGCGGCTCCTGTGGGCTTTTGCGGGAGGTGGGGGAATTCCACCACCTCCCGCAAAAGCAGGGAGAAGGTCTTGGAGTAGCGCACAGGCTGCGTGCAGCCTGTCCGCTGCTCCCAGAGCTGCGGGGGGAAATCATATTTTTTTCCTTGATTTCCCCCTCTGAAAACTAGGTGCATCCTATGGGCTGGTGCGTCCTATAGGGCAAAAAATACGGTATGCTTTAAGACAGCCAACATAATATGTTATCATCCAGCTCATCAGCAACTAGTACGTGAATACCTCAGTACTATTGTTTTCTCTTGTATATCAACAATTCTATTTAATTCTAGGTTTCTTTCCTGTACATTGATTCATAGAATTATGGAGTTGGAAGGGACCACTGTGGCCATCTAGTCCAACCCCCTACAATGCAGGAATCTTTTGCCCAGTGTGAGACTCAAATCCACAACCCTGGGATTCAGAGTCTTAGTCTCATGCTCTACCAGCTGAGCTATCCAGCCCAGCATGATAAAGTTTATTACCAAATATTAATAATTTTTGAAAACATTAAAAGGTATTGGTTTATTTCAGCATCCTAGGAAGAACTGAAGATTTATTTATTTTTATACTTGTAGGTATTGTAATCTTAACAGACGAAACGAAAACTCCCTGAAACAATCTTCCTCTTTTCCAAAGAGAAATAGTAATTGAGTCTGTGCTTTTCTGGGATGCACCAGAGTGTAAAACTACACTGCTCTACCTGATCCTCCTGAGGGTAATGATGACTCTAGCAAGAATTAAATCAGTTGAGAAAGCTTCAGGCAATGGACTAAAGTGAAGCAGCTCACTAACGTGGTGCATCCAAAAGCAAAAGAATGAAAAATGGCAGAGATTTCATAAACTGCACATCTTAAAGTTGTCCTCCTAGGGTAATGGCACAGTTAGAATTACTTAAATTCATCCATACCCCAACCTATTACAACATATCTAAACATTAAAGAAAACTGAATATAAGTGCATCCTTGATGGTGCATAATCACAAGGGCTTACATACTATAAGCAAATGCTTCTTTAAAAAAAATCAATAAGATACAAATGGCCTTCAAATGTTGGAAGGAAAGAGGCTTGTTTTCTGTATTTGCCTTCAGCTTCAGCAAAGTGTAGAAATGCCCCAAGGAGATGGATCCTGCAGCACTGCTGCCACCCTCTGGCCTCATAATGGACCAAACAGATTAAGGAAAAAAAGTATGCCCTCTTTGGTCATTTCTTAACTTCTCTTTATGATGCAAATAAAAAAGCTTTTTATATTATAGAATTGTTGCGATTGTTTGTACACACTCACAAAACTCTTCATATATTTTTAGTAAGATACTACTTTTAATAAAAATAGGAAATACCATAACAAGGACTAGCTAAGTTCCCCATCCTTCCCAAAACCCAGTGTACTTCAAGTTTATGCTTCAATGCTTTTTTGTGGCAGGTAACCCAACACAATAAGGTAGTTTTTGTTGTCTTCTTCTTCTTCTTCTGCGATCACTCGTAGCCGAGTAAGATTGTCTTCCATAAACACGTTTTTAAAAATGTGTCCGTAAGTGACTGTGGAGGCCAATTCTGGATCCACACGTCCTTCCACAGTGGGGACACTGGTTTCCGGGTGGGAGTTGATCACAGTGTGGATTTGCCAAGCATGCCTTCCTCTTAGCATGTTTCTCCCTTGCGTCCTGAGTTTGAGTGTCTTCAGAGCCCATGACACCTTTGGTAAAGGCTATTCTCCAACTGGAGCGCTCACAGGCCAGTTTCCCAGTTGTCAGTGTTTATACTACATTTTTTAAAATTCGCCTTGAGACAGTCTTTAAACCTCTTTTGTTGACCACCAGCATTACGCTTTCCATTTTTAAGTTCGGAATAGAGTAGTTGCTTTTTTTGTTGTAACAACCGTTAAATGTACATTACTCTCTGATCATCATACCACAAAGCCGAAACCAAACCAAATAAAATAAGTCGCATGAAAAACAACAAAGTTTCTCCTTCAACTTTAAGTTGTTTAGCAATTTGTTATCAAAGGGAATAAATATAAGGTAGCTAACCTTAAAAATAAACTAAAATAAATATTAAATATATTGTTTTGTGCTCAATTGTGGCTTAGCTGACAGTGCTTAGTTTTCTGCTGTTTAGTCGCCCAGCTCAGCATCTTCAATAGGAAAAACCCATTTGAGGTACTAAAGTTCGACAAACTGAGATATTACTGATACAACAAGTACCTCATAGAAATACTGCTGTGCTTTACACACTAAAAATAAAATATGTGCTCAGACAATCCAAATTATGCCAAGAAAAACATAATTCTGTAAACTTTATGAATCATTTGAACAAATGTTCCCAATTTATCTTATTTAGCATTCTTAAAATTCTAACATATTTTATTCCAATTTGGTAGTGAATGCCACCCCAGCAAATGTAAAGCATTTTTTTGGATAAAGCTTTTTATTATTATTTCATTTTATAATCTATATAAAACAGAGAGAACAATTCTAACAGATGGAAATTAATGATAAAAATAAATATAAAATTGGCATGTAGAGGTTATACATGAGCTAAAATAACAAAGTCAAAGTAAAGACTATCATTGTTATTGGATCATCAAGTATAGTTTCAGATTTGCCAGACTTGTGAGGAAAGTTGTCTTGAATCATAGAGTTGTAGATTTGGCAGGGACCGTGAGAGTCATCTAGTTCAACCCCCTGCAATGCAGCAATCCTTCACCCAACAGGAAGCTCAAACCCATGACCCTGAGAGTAACAGTCTCCTGCTTTACCAACTGAGCTAGAAAATGATGGTTCCACTGTATATGTCATAAAGGAATGCCAAATCATATACAAAGGATCTGGATGTTCTAGTTCTTGCCAAAATCTCCATTACAGCTATATTCCAGAGTAAGAGGTACCAAGCGTCCAGTGTAGGATTTGGGTTTGGGGTTTGTTCGTTTTTGACACTCAGTTTCATAGTTTCTTCTGGTTAATTTACCTAGTTGATCTTTAATAATGTCAAAATCTTTTTGCTATTCTGCAAGTAAGATGCAGATCTTGTACATTAATTGCCTCCATCAGTGCTGCTTCAGAAGCAGTATCTCCAAGTCCAGGTTTCTTTCCCTTTGTAGCTATTTTGCGTACTTTGTTGTCACTCTGTTTTTCTTTATAAGATTACAGAAAGCCACAAAGGGAAAACTCACAGTTCTGGAGGATGCTGTTTGCTGTTTTCGTTTGCAAGATCAAATATATCTTTGGAAAAAAATAAAGTTCTGTTAAATCCATTGAAATCAGTTGCATAGACTTGGTAGGGTCTGAGTTGTTTCTTCAAGCTGCTGTTTAGGTTCTGTGCACACATGCCCTGCCTCCCCATGAAAATCATATTGAGCCAGTTCTTTAGCTTCTGAGATTTGAGTAGTCTACACATTTTGAATTTATCAATTTCTGCACTCTAAACGCTTTGTGTGTGTGTGTTGTGTGGGCATCCATCTGTCTTGAGAGAGAGAGCCTTTGGGGGTGAAGTCAAACTGCTGGAGAATCACAGCACCTGCTGTGGCTGCAAAGACTGGTAATTCGTAACTGCTACCTCCCTCCCACATTGTTTTTTCTGTGTTAGCAGCACAAGCAGGCACAAGCCTGGGCAATGTGAATGGGAGTCCTGGGATGCCAAGACAAGACCCCCATGTTGGCCTTGCTGATGTGGTCCAAAGGAAAGCAGAATAATACAATTGGTACTATATTTGGCTGCAGGAGTTGCTGGAAGGAGGTGTACAAGACACCATCTAACTGTCTTGGCACTCTGGATTTATGTACAATTCCCATAATCCCTAGCTAACCTTTTCTTCTGAGGTTGTCCTGCAAGGCAATGGGTACAGACTTTTCCTCGGGGTTTACTCCCAAAGCCTCTCATGAATGAGTATAGCCGCAAAGTGGCAGAGGCTTAGAATCAGAGTTTTCATTCCCCTAGAATAGATGGACTACCTTCCCAGGTTGATGAGCCCCATCTGCCCCAAAACTTTTTCTGTACTCTCATGCTACTGCATCATGCATGAACGAAGCTGCACTAACTAGAATATGTGGCAAAAATGAGCTATTTTCTTATCCTTTTATACAAACTCTGTGGAATTAACATCAAGAACTATGAAAAAGCTGTAGCTGTTGTTATCTTTCAGTGTTATGCTTCAGGTCAGCACAAATTCTTAACAGTCATGTTGAGATGACCTTAACCTCCCAAATATTTGAGATGAAGTACAGTATTAAAAAAAAAACCTGACAAAGAAGCAACATTTGACTGCAGATTTAGAAGCTCAATGTAAAAATATTCTTTTGTTAAATTCACTCTCCACAGTGTAAAACACACATCTACAGCAAGTATATTATATTTTCTTGATCGACAGATTCATTTGATGATGTTTGGGGGAAGTGGGGAATTCAATTCTTTTCTCAGCATGAAGGGCATGTTTTGAATACTGAAATGTAAAAAAAAATTAAAGCTTTATTTTATATATACTGACAGCAATGCACCACCTGCATTGAAAAATCACAACTCCATGTGTTAGACTTTACTTTCTGCAAAACAACCCAGTTGTTTTCCCATACACAATGCAACTTCTGTAACCACTGCACATTGAATGTCTCTATGAGATTGTATTCCCTGAAGTGTCTTTCATACATTAGACCAATAGCTTTCAGAAGACAATGGGAACTGATGCTGCAATGTATTTATAAATGTATCATTACACTCCCTTAACATCCAACGCCAAGCAGGTTTCTAAACTGCTCATAATCCATTGGTTAGAACTAGTTTGGCCATTGGCCCCTCTTATCACTGAGGAGAGGCACAAGGCACACCAAGCACGCACAAATACATATGAGTGCTACCACCACCATACCTAGCATGGAAATGCAACAAACTGCAGAAGGGGGTGGGACCCTGTCTCAGGACCCTGACATGGGGGTACGGTTACTTTTGTCAGAAGCTCGTCCTACTCTCGAGTAGGACCCTGGCAGATACACATGCCCAACTGGCATGTTCCCTCCCTCCTGGTTGATCATTCGGGAGCTTCAAAAGCTTTCTTCTGCCTGAACATCACAGCGATCGAAGCCAACAGACATCGGCAGAGTCTTCGCAGCTTGCGTAACAGACCTCAGCAACTCAGCATTTTGGCTAATCTACTTTATTTACATATAAACACACATGGAGCACTGCAACATGGCTCCCTCTCTCTCTAGCATCAGACAGCAAAGAGAAAAAACAAAGGACAATAGTCCCACTTCACGGAACACAGTAACACAAACATCCTGTCTCTGTCACTTCCCACTTTGTGGAGTCAAAACATACACCGTCATGTGACAGACAACAATCCCATGACTGCAATCATGGAGCAGGAATTCTAACATCCTCCCCCAATTCATGATCTGTGTTGCAGTCATCAGTGAAATTGCAGCAACCATACAGATGTCATACACACAGTATACCTCTATCACCCATTCCACCCTTGGAACTACCTGCAACTGGATTAGCCTTGGGCCTTACCATCTTGCACTTCTGACTAGTCTTGGCGTCATAGCTCTCATGGCTATCAATAAGTTAAACACCTGGCTTTGTTGGGACTTGAACCCTAGCTTCGTTTCTCTTTGAGGAATCAGTGTTGGCACACACAGCCTTTGGATGTGGTCCAGCTTCCTTCTCCAAGGAAACAGTGTCTACACTTACAGCCTTTGGGCGTGGTTTCCCATCCTTTGAGGACAACCCCTGCACCCCTTTCAAGACTTCGGGTTCCAAGACCTGTGTCGAGCCACTAACCACGGCTAAATCTGCAACAGCTGTGTTAGCAAACTCCTGAGCATACCTGGTGGGCTTCTCACCCTTCGTAGCTCCTTCTGATCTGCACAACTGGCGCATCTCCTCCACTGTATCAGTGGAACTCACCTCAGTGCACCTGCTGTTTATAACAGCAACAGACTTAGTATCTAACTCTCCAGCAATGGAGTAGCCTAGGAAAATACACACGTGCCCCCCCCCACACTGCTCTGCACTCAACATCCCCAGTGAGTAAAATCCGCTCTGACTTTGGTTTTACACCCAGACAGACAAGAAATCAGAGACTTTTGAAGTTCTGCTGTTTGCCTTGGAGGTAAGCATTACCAAGCTCTTGGGGCATGTTTCCAGGCTTAAGCCTACTGACCTTTGCTGGCATCTCTAAACTTGAGATGCTGCACTAGCAACCACACAGCTTGCCAACTGGCTTCAATAAATCAAACTCCTAATCTTAAAGCTGGTTCACTCAAAAACATTTATAAGAACATGGTGCTTAGATTAAAAAGAAAACTGCTGGGCAATCACACAAGCTTTTCCTATTGCTTCTGCCCTGTAATATGAACCAATGGAAGATGCCTGCAGGTTTGCTAAGCACATTTGCCACCATTTCCTTCTCCTCTTCCTTCCTAATGTAAGGCTTGCTAGACTCAGGCAGCTGTAAAGTTAAAATAGCAGCATTTGAGGCCTGGGGAGACACCACTGATAAGAGATCAGCTAGCAACATTCCTGAGGTCAGAGTTGGGGGCAGGCTGCCAGTTGCCAACTACTAGCATATATTTTCATTGCAAACCCAAGGACTAGAAATGTACCAACTATGTGAAATGAAAACTGGGGAGATTTTCACAATTCTGCACACAGAACTGGAGTTCACAGCTCATTCTTATCAATGTTAAGTCCAGGTAGTATATGAATGTTCCCACAATGGGACACATTGCAGTGGGACTTCTTCATTAATAATATATTATCAGGTCTTAAAAATTCAAGTGAGTGCACCTAATATTTGACTGTTTGCTGAACTTTCCCTCAACCCCTATAACTGATAAAAGTGAAACACATCATCCCAAGAAAAACAAACACAGAAAGAGAATGATGAGGATAGTAGTTAACTAAGGAAAAAGACAGGAAAACATGAAAGAAAGGGGAAAATTCAAATGTATCCATCCACAAGAAGAATGGACACCACTGGTAGAAAAGATTGCCCTCCAGACTATTGCCCCTCTCTCTGGTGCACCCTGAGAATCTGCTCTGGAGGGCTGCTAGGTAGCAGGAGAAAAAGGTAAGTCCAATGAAATAACTGCTTCTGAAGGCTCTTTGGTTTGCTTCTAGAGCCTTTTTATATTCAGCCACAAATGGCAAAAACTGTATGCACAGACTTCTACGGCATCAAAACTTGTTTTTTCAAATGTATATCCCACCCACTTGTTTTCAAAACTCTCTTGGCAAAGCTGTAGGAATGAACTTAAGGAAAGAAAAACAAAATAAAAAAGTCTCAAAAGTAAGTGAAATGCCAAGTTCCACAGCTATAGAATAATCTTATATATTGGTATGGTTCAGTAAGCAAACACAGAAGAACAGATTGATAAATATTCCCTTAAGAACATTAAGTTTTAAAATATAATTTGCAAAGATCTTGCAAATCCCAACAGTAGAAGCTTACACTACTTAGGGCATATTTAATAAACCAAGAAGTATTATTTATAAGTAGTCTGACTTTATGCAACAGTTGGACAGCTGTGCTGTTGGTCTCCAAATCTGTCAGTATTTGCAGATTTAGAATTGTTGCTCAAAAGGATTCCCCATGGGACATGAAACTAAACACATTCTTTTGTGCAAAAGATAGTGTTCAAAGGGATGTATTAGTAATCGGGAAAAAGTATTTTTGTTACTCAAGTGATTTAAAAGTATATAATAAGTTTTGTACAATGTTTATTGTTGTCAATAGCCCTTTATATTAAATGGTTTCATAATCCATTTATTGCAATGCAAT